TACCTTTTGAGCTCTTCCCAATAATTAATGGTGTGAAAGAAGATTGTGTCCTTGCACCAACTCTATTCACAATTTCCAAATTTTTTATTTTATAAAAATTATCCAGGTATGCAAAAAATGTATTGGTGATGAAAAGTGACATTCGTGAAGGTTGAAAGGGTAGTGGAGTAAATAATATAAATAAATATAGATTAAGCTAATTTTTAAAAAGAGTCGAGCAAGAATGGAATGATTTTAGAAAATAGTGAAAGTTATCTTGACATAATCTCAATATTCATAATGATTTTTAGACGATTACCTCAAAAAGCTTGAGCCAAAACAGAAAGCAAATAAAGTCAGATAACATTCAATCTAAGAGCCTGTAATTATAAGATCCAAATGGATTGATGTGGTGAATTTCTTGCCATTTCTTGCAATTGAAAGCAATAGATGGCGCTAATTTGGATTAAATTAATGAGGTTGTTTTATTCGACAACATATTTCAAAATAAACAATTTGTGTGAAAATAATCAAATGATATTATCATTCCTTAATCGTTGGGTATAGTATTGCCTGATAATGCTTATTCCATAAGAACATGCTTATTTTTCCCTCTTTCTCGGTACTTCTTTGTTTTCCACAACTTTTGCCAGGTTTCCGACAATCAGATCTTTTTCCGTTGGAGCAAAACGACCCATCCACAGAATTGTCTCGCGGTTGTTAATAATTACATAGAGAAACGGATGATCGGCAACAAATTGTTCGCCATCTCCGATTGTCACAACATTATTTACTGGGATGCTTGAATTTTCGTTATTGATTCCTTTTTCATTAATCTGAATTCAATGTTTTTTGCAGTTATCTGTTTATCGTAATGTTGGAATGGATCTTATCAGAAGCATGAATTTAACAATAAATTATCGATCGATTTAATCTAAATTAAGAATTGACTAAAATATATTTAAATCAGTGTAAAACCAAAAACCTTAATATGAGCTACGTTTAAAACATCAATGAACGTAGGTGATTTTTGATTGGAAATGCCGGAAAAATCAGCCGTTCGCTCGAACATTGATCGCATTCCCATCTTCTTCAGTGCACTTGTTAAATATCGTTTATTTCTAGACGTGAATTTTGGCATCCTAACCTAAACTCTATTGTGATCATAAAAATTTTATGAATTAAATCATCTAACACTGAAAAATAAGGAAAAGACTGACAGATTTGAGTGGTTACTGAAATTTCGATTTTGATTTTAATGCTGAAAATGACCACATGTTTTAGTTTAACTGATCAAAAAACTTCTGAGGCATACATTCTGCCTGAAATCTGTGCAATTTGTTAATTCAAAAGAACAGAATATTTACGACCAAATGGAGAGAAAAAATTAAGCAAACATCATAAAAAAGAAAATACAACATACCGTAACATTGCCTGACACGATAAGTTCTTCAACGTAACTGAATAGTTTCCTTCCTGTAAGTTTTGCTTCAAACTTTCCTAGTCCGAATATCTTTTTGGTAAAATGATTAACATTTCCATTTCAGAATTTCTCAACGGCAACGATACCATTTGAATTTGTTGATCTTCATAGTATGGAAATTCTGCCGTCCTTACCATCATTGGTATCTGAATT